TAATGTGTGTGTAGGTAATGAGCAATTGAACTGCAGTGAGAGAGACGTATTGTTGAAGTTAACGTTCGTTATTATAGTTTGTTCTAGCGCGACTGTTGAAAATAAGTGTATCGTAAAGTTGTATTCGGAAAGAATAAACCAGTTTTAGTAAGTAAGGACTTGTGTCGCTAAAGTTTCGTCAGAACGAAGTTACGGAAAATCAATTAACAAACGGAGACGTAACAATATAAAACTGTAAAATTCTACCGGACTTCGAGTTCGTTTTATTTCGCCATATAGTAACCTAAACTAATTGAGGTATGTAAATAATGTTATGACATTTCGTCGAATTCGTTGGACCAGCATTTTAATGATTGTATATATGTGTTACAGATTTATTTTCTTTTTAACCAGATGTGAAATTGACGAGAGAATCTATGACGTTGAAGTCTAATACATTCTTTGATTGGCTGAGAATGTACGTCGTGAAGGCCTCTGATGAAAACTAAAATAAATCTTTAACGTACATTTATAATAATATAAGTATCTTAAAGCATGTTAAACCTTCCACTATAGGTATCGCAACAAAGACATTTTACCAAAGAGATAAACGAAAATACAGACCCAATTGACAAACAAATATTTATAAGCATGATGATGTGGTTATATTTTGGAGGAACATAGTACTTCTTTAGACAGAAATATAACCAATTCACTATGCTTATAAATCGTTGTTTGTCAATTTACATAACAGGAGAATATACAGGCTGATTTGGAAGTTTGTAGAGCACCACATGTCATTTGACTTTGTCAATACAATAACACTGAATCTATTTTTTCTTCTCAATAAAATTTTGTGTGTGTGCAATTGTTAAAGGTGTACTTCGATGACGTCAACTGGTTCACCCACATTCTGACCGAGGTCCACCAAAAAATTATAATTTGAGACTATTTTAGTGCCATCTATCGAAGTTTTGGTGAAATTCGAGTCAAGCGTCGATCGCAAGTTTTCACTAATTTGTACTTGTTTGTGAACTTTCTCAATGGTTATTAACTACCTGTGGAGAACTTCTCATGAAATATGTTGAAAACAGACTAAATCTGCTGAAAATGTTATGTATTACACGAATATTATCAAACTAAACAGGTGACGCCACAATATTAACTCTCTCGTCACCGATAATGTCAGTGGTTATTGTTCCGGACGAACAATACTAAGGAAGGGGCAGTGTTGCGACAGCGGAAGTCATATGACGCTGAAAGCATGCGCGTTGGAGTTTCTAGAATGATCATGACTGCTCCTGGCAACTCTAATCTTTTCTAGGCGCCTTCTATTTTAGTATATAAGCCCGGCAAATAAAGCGGAGATAAAATTGCAGAGAGACAGATAATTGAGTCAAGCGAGCAGTAGGCACCGTAAGAAAATGTGTGAATCGTTGTGAATTATAGCGTATGTTAAAGTTAAAGTGACTGTGGAAATTATGTGTATTGCAAAGTTGTATTGAGAAAGAATAAACTAGTTTTATTCAAGAAAGGACTTGTATCATTGAAGTTCCTCGGGAAGAATTTATACCGGAAATTAACAAACGACCAGAGACGTAACAATATCTATATATCTATGCAATCGCGCTGGTTTTTTTCGCCAGGCTTATATACTAAAAAAGAGGGCGCCTCGAACGCACTAAGAAATTCATGATCATTCCCGGGGTTCCTCGATAAGTCATGATCCTTCTAGAAACTCCAGCGCTCAGGATCGCGTGACTTCCGCTGTCGTAACAATATTTTGGAAACTTGATTTCTATTAGATGTGGTAGTATTGAAGACCATAATATTACTGAATGGTAATTTCATTAAAGAAAAATGAGTAAAATGTTGTCATAACCATTTAACTTAATTTTACGTATTTTATAACACAGAACCAAAACCACAATTGAAATTTGCATTTGAAAAAAGATAATGTTACTCGTAGAAAACGACACCTTGTGGTGGTTCTTCATCCGTTAATGAGTAAACATTTACCTCTATTATAAACTCTTTGGTTTGGGTTTGCTTCTTCGGAGTAGAGGTGCGTATTTATTTTATTTTTTTATTAATATGGCATATTTTAGTAGTGATTGGTTATTATTTGCATTGTTACTGTTACTAGTTTTTACACTTAGATAATAGTATTTCAACTACTGAATCGTACATGCTAGAAAGTAGAATTGCTACCTGTCTCCAATGAATATTTTTACGTGATGCTTTTAATAGTAATAGTGATACGGAAAGTGATTGCTGCTACTTAAGTTAAAGAGTATTATAATTTATAGTACGTCGTTAGGCCTAAAGCTTTCATGGGAAGTGAAAACTGAAATGATAATAGGCTCTTGTAGGTGTAACTTATACTAGGTAGTACTACTACTAGTAATAAAAGTGAAAGTTATAGTTTGGGGCTTGAGGATGAGCCTTGAGGTTGAAAATTTGATATAAATTATAATGTGATAATCTTTAACTTTATATGGCAAAGTATTGGTCTAAAAACTGCAAGTTCATATATTCTAGTCGGAGGAAGTTTCATTATGCCCTAAGTTTGTTATATTACTTACAATACTAGAACTAGAACATAGTTTTGTAAACTCAGCTACAGTTTTTTAAATTAGCATAACATATGTTTATTCAAAGCAGTTCTTGCATACCTGCCATTAGGAAATGTAAAACTTTAAGCCCATCCTTCACTTTTCAGGAAATCAAAGATTTTTTGCCTATACTCCTATAAAATGCTGGCTCTAATATTGCCATTGACAAGTTATTACATGAATCAATCATCCTGTTACAAGTGTTAGAAAAATAAAACTCGTACATAGACCCAACTCTGCCTTTTAAGGTTTTCTCCACTCATCCTCTTATCGTCAGAATATAACAAAGAAATCAGAGGTGTTAGTCTTATTGATCCCTAGGTAATCTTGTAAGTTTCAACCTTGTAAAATAACCCTTCCATCCCAGGAATCATCCTAGTACCTCCCTCTAAACATTTCCTGATAAGTCAGTATTTTTACATAAATAAGGAGACCAAGACTGTGTGCAGTATTTCAGTTGTGACATAACTAATGAATTGTATGGGAGTAATTACATATTTTGATTAGTAAACAATACATCTATAAATATCTTCTAAATTTCCATTAGCTTTTCTACAAAAACAGAGCATTGCTTTGATGGCTTGAATGACTTTTCCACCATTATACCAAGATCCTTTTTTTAACTCAAAGTATTAAATGTGTTACCTAAATTACGACAACTAAAATGCATTCTTCCAATTAGAAAAAGTAAAGGCCAATTGTCAAACTTACCAATTGATCCAAATCCCAAGTCATTCATTAGTACCTCAATACAACTAGAAATACCCAAAGTTTAATGTCAAATACAAGAGCGTAAAGCCCAGCAGTGACCTTTTAAGTACTCCAATGACTAGTGTACAATTTGACTGCACTGCTTTCTTCCACACAACCATCCTACAATCCAATTAACTAGTCTTTTCCAAACACCTTCCAGTGTAATTTTCTTGGCTAATATTTTGTGTGGTATCTCATCAAAAGTTTTAGAAAATCTAATCACACAAAGTCAACACACTTTACTTTATCCAGGTAACGAGTAATGTCCTGAAAAGAAATTAGCAAAATAGTAAAGCAAAATTAAGTTAAATCTTTTTTTTCAATCTCTATTGATGTAATTTTCTTAGCTATTTTTTTATGTGACACCTTATTGCCTTTTGGTGAATACATGTTGGTTTTCATTTATGATATCATAATTCAACTAGAGGGGCATTTAGTCGACCACATACCTCCATCATGCAGTGTTGATCATATTCAGCTATCAAAAAATATGAAAATGTGTCTGTATGCCTGTCATTATCAATGGACACAGACCATTTTTGGCAGGATGTTTTTGACTGAGTTATAGACCAAAAATAGTGTGAAAAATTGGTCCCCATGTTAACAGATAGGGATTTTTTTTTATTTTCTTGACTTTTGTTCTTGATCAAAAACTAATAACTTATAAGTTCGGTCATAGTCCAAATTTATACCAACTTTTGTCGAAATCCATTCAGCTGTTTTTTAGAAATCTTGCTGAGAAACACATACATGGGTGAAAACATAACCTCCATCCATCTTTGGTGGTGGAAGTAATAAATGATTTTGTAAAGCTTTTATCAGACTAGACTTTTTCCAACTACAAAAGGAAGATTAATTGACCTATAGTTTCCAAGTTAGATATTATTACCTGCCCTTTGAAAATTTGAGTTTTCTTATCTATTATTAAGCTGTTTCTTAACTCCAGCACTGCACTATCCAAACGTTTTTTATTTATTACTGTTACCATAACAAGTTATTTGTTTATCCAGAATGAATTTCATGTGGGTAATGTATTTTAACAAAGTATAATAATAAATTAAGAAATATTATCTTTACCTAAACATAATTATAAAATGTACTTTATAAAAAAAAGGGAAGACTGAAAAGGTGGATCAACTCTGTAAATCTATAGAATTGAACAATACAATAAGTTATGTTCACACTAGAAAACGAATTTACATTGTCAGCGAAGCTTTATTTTTTATATAGTTTTTATTTCCCATTTGACCAACTCTTGATCTTCTATGATCCTCCAAATCTGCTATTATTGCATGCAATTTAAACTTCTTAAATTTATAATACTTTTATTTAATTCTATTCTTTATATACTGTGTGAGCCAACATTATTTTCTACTTGTAGCTTACCTTTTTTTTTTTTTATAAGGAACATTCCTATCTTAAATATTTAGAAATTTATTTTAAAAATTTTTCTGCATTTGATCAGGAGATAATTTTGGTCTATACCCCTTTTATATTTATTTTTTGAAATTTGGAACTAAAATCTCATTATTCATTGTCTCCATATGCAGCAAAATATCAAATCTAATTGAGCAATCATTAAATTTCTGTAGTGCATATTGGTGTATAGATGACAAGTTAATTCTAGAAATTAATGACCTTATAATGCCAAATTATTGTTTTTCTTTAATTGGACACTCATCATTTCATTTTATAGCATCTTCAGGAGTGTTCCACTAAAATACAAGCCCTAACTGACAGTACAAAGCTTCAAATGATTTAAATAATGTATTCTAATCGAATCTATAGTGTGTATTTCTACAGCATGCATCGAGAGATTAAGTAGTAAGGCTTCACAAGACCTACTATCATGAATCAAAAATGTACCTTACTTAGTGACTTTACACAGGATGTCGTATCTCTCTACCCATCTATACAGACAAAGGATGATGTCAATGTGTGAATTCATGTCAAATCAAAAACAATTTGGAGATGTACAGACTGACAATAGATACTGTCAGCAAAATCTTAAATTTCATCCTTCATAATGGATATTTTCATTTTGACAACAAACTATATCTCCAACTAAGTGGTGTATCAGTAGGTAATAGTCTCTGTTATTTATGCTGTGATATTTATGCACTTCTTTGAAACAACTGCATTTGACAACTGGCATCAAGGTGCCAACACTGGCCCTGATCTTTGCCTTAAATACATCAGTGACGTGTTGGGACTATGGAATCATGGTCTTCCTTTAATAAAATGTTTAGACTTTCTAAATTTCAATATTCAATTCATCATGAATCACCTGAATGATAAGAGGATCATAGATTTTCTTGACATTACTTTAAGGATCAACAATAACAATATTATATAATCTACCTTGTTTCACAAACCAATTAGAAAACCTCTTATCTTTAACTTCAACTCCCATCATCCTAAAGCTTCCAAGAAAGGCACAATTATTGGAGAATTAAAGAGAATCGATCACAACGATAGTGATAAACAAAACATGCTCTGAATTAAAATCACTTCTTCTGACCAATGAATAACCAAATTTTACATTGAACAAATTTTCAAGTACTATGACGTGCAAAAATTAGCATCTCGCTTCCAGCATGAGAAAACACAGATAAACAAGGAAGGAAAAAAAACAATTTTCCAAAGATAACACAATAAAGGTTATTCTTATAACACCTCTAATTGATGATACTATCTCCAAGAAAGTAAAAAGTATAATCAGGAAATCTGAACTGCCAATTAAAGCTATAGAATGGCCAGGTTCAACCCTAAAAAGCCAAATTTCAAAATGTCATTATACTATCCTACAATGTAATAAAGCAATGTAATGTGTTTGCAATTGAAAGATGGGTGTCTTGTCTCCAATGTTGTTTAACAGCTTATATGTAACATCTGCCCTCATACGTACATAGGGGAAACCAGAAGAGCCTTACACATATTGACAACATGAAAGAAGCACAGTTGCAGATCATTTTTAACCAATCATGGACAAGTAACACCTGACTTGAAACCACCAATCTCCATACAAATCCTTGCCAAGTACACTGACAGAAAATTCAAAGAAGCTCTTTTCATTGAACAACTACGACAATGGATAAATAGGGACAAAGGATGGTGCCTATAATTTTAATTATTATATTTTTTCAACCTATATTTTATTTCAATCTGTAATTTGGATGGAACTTTTGTTTACTGTGGGTAACAGTTTATTATTTCGACAATAAGCTTTACTACTTAATATGTCAAACACATGCTACAGATTCAATTAGAATTTATTATTTAAACCATTTGAAACTTTGTACTACCTTGGTTTGTGTTTTAGTGGAATGCTCCTGAAGAAGCTGTAAAGCAAAACGTTGAGTGTCCAGTTAAAGAAAAACAACAATTTGGTTGTTTATTTCTAGTACTAATTGAGCAATGATCACTTGCACCCAGATGTTCCATAATCTCCACCCTATCACCATAGTAGTATGAAATGCACTCTGTTTTAACCATATCAACTTTAACAAATGTCTGTTAAAAACCTTGTCAATTTTCTCAGAAAATTCATATCAATACAAGAAATGAAAAACTTTGTAAAACAGTTGAAATGCCAAAACTGTTATTTGTTAAAAACACTGAATGTATCTCAGAGATTCAGTGGAAAAGATGAAATAAAAGTTACTTAACAAATGAATTGTACATTAAAAAACAGTAATATTCTCAGATGGAATATCTTCAAAACTCAAAATATACTTATAATTTTAAAATATTCAAAGAAAATGATATAACATTCAAAAGTATTTTGAAAGTTATATTAATTTTATAAGAGAATGTAAATAAAGAGTTCTTTCTATACATTTTGTAAAGCTTTTGAGACAGTTCTGGAGGTCTAGAGGCTGTCAGAGCCTTCCAGTTAAACCCCAGTGAGGAGCCTTCTGCTCAAAGTCGAAGGGACAAAGGTCTTGGGTTTTTAACATTTTGTACGAGTTAAAAGAGAAATTTTAAGAAGTTAGAAATA